TGTATTTTGTAAAATATTAACTATATTATTTTGGGATGAAACTTTTTTGTGGTTGTGACATAATTTGTAACAACAATTTAATGCATATCCGGTTTCAGGATTCTTCGGTATTTTATGAAACTAAAAAAATTGAAAAGATTAAACAGAACAAGAACAGAAAAAATTATGAAAAAGTAACACAAAACAAAATAAACAAAAGACCCCCTCCCCTGGGTCCGTTCGTCCCAAACCGGGCCACCGGGTCGGCCAGGCCGCCTATAAACCCCCCCACTAGCCAGAACCCTAACCGCCCCCACTCACGTCCGAATTCCCACTCCCTTCACCCTCCCACGATTTTGGATCGGGCCGACGCCTGGTTTCGCCGGGCGCGCGTGCCTCGAGCCCCCCCGCACTCCCTCTCGATCTCGCTACGGCCACCCTCCGTCGCGCCAGAAGCCCTCCCGCCGACACCTCGCGTACCGCGACCCGCCCGCCGCTACTCCCGGCGGCCCCAGGCGAGCTCCCTCACGTCGTCGCCCGCCAGCGCCCCCGTGATGGCCGCAAGCTCAACCACCGGTCGCACGCCCCTGCAACACGGCCCCTATCGCTAGCAGCCGCGGCTTCCCTTGGCCGCGCCCGGCCAGGCGCCTGCTAGCGCGCGTCGCCGAAGCCGCCTCCTCGCCGGAGAGGGATGGATCCGGAGGCCAACGTCGCGGATCCGCCTCCCTGCCTTGCTGCCTTCGCCGGAACCTTCGCGTCTTCGCCCTCTTCCCCGCCGGCCGCCAGCAAGCCTCGGCGCCCCTCTCCCTATCAACGCGGTGAGGCCGCCCCGACCTCTCCTCCTCTCTCTGCCCTCGCAACACGACGCGCGACCATCACGCCCCGGGCCGCGACCAAGCTTGTCAGGCCGCATCGTCCCGGCTGCCACCGCCCTAGCCTTGCCCTGCTCCGACGCTGCTCCGCCCGGTCAACAGCAACCCCAAATCCCACCCGGCGTGTCACCTTCGCGCGCTCGCGCCCGTGCGTGGCCGGCTACCGCGTGCTGCTGCATCCTGCGGCTGCGCCGCCGCCGCTTCTCGCGTCCACCACACGTGCCACTGCCGCCCGGCTCACCCGCCTGCCTCCCTCTCGTCGTGGCTGGCCCGCGCTCACGCCGCCGTGCGCCTGCCACCGCGCCCGCCTTGCGCCCTGGGCGCCGTCGGGCTGCCCCATCGCCGCAACCACGGCGCCTGGGCGGCGCCCGCCAGCACCTGAACCCGTTCTGGGCCCGGTGGCCTATACAATAGGGGCCCAACCCAAAAACAAAAAGAAATAAATAAAATAAATAAATTAATAATAATTTAATAATTAAAAATAATTAATTAACTTAATTAATTAATTAATTAAATAATTAATAATTAACTTAATTAATTAATCAATTAACTGAGGTCAATGACATGGGACCCACACGTCAGGACCAGTCAACTCTGTTGACTGCTGACGTCATGCTGACTCATGCTGACGTCAGCAAATACTATTCTGGATAATGTTAATTAAAATTAAAAAAATGATTTAAATCTTGAAAATTTATAAAATCCGTAACTCGGATGAAAATACTTTCTACATGAAAGTTGCTCAGAACGACGAGACGAATCCGGATACGCAGCCCGTTCGTCCGCCACACCTCCCTAACATAAAACCGCAACTTTCCCCTCCGGTTCATCTGTCCGAAAACGCGAAACAGGGAATACTTTCCCGGATGTTTCCCCCTTCGCCGGTATCACCTACTACCGCGTTAGGGCACACCTAGCACCGCTATTGTCATGTGCATTGTTTGCTTATTGTTTTTGTATTTATTGTTCCCCCCCTTCTCCGGTAGACTACGAGACCTGCCCCCAGTTCGACTACGGAGTTGACGACCCCTCTTTGCCAGAGCAACCAGGCAAGCCCCCCCTTGATCACCAGATATCGCCTATTCTTCTCTATACTGCTTGCATTAGAGTAGTGTAGCATGTTACTGCTTTCCGTTAATCCTATTCTGATGCATAGCCTGTCATTGTTGCTACAGTTGTTACCTTACCTGCAATCCTACTGCTTAGTATAGGATGCTAGTTTTCCATCAGTGGCCCTACATTCTTGTCCGTCTGCCATGCTATACTACTGGGCCGTGATCACTTCGGGAGGTGATCACGGGTATATATATATTA